GAACAAAGAAGAGAATTTAAAATTAATAAAAGAAAATAAAAATCCTTAAATAATCACGTTCGGCAGGAACCGCTTGGAAAATTTCTAATGACACTTGTTCGTGAAGATAGATGAGGTTGGTAATTGCAGAGTTGCCACTTCATTGTCATATCTGGTGACCCAGATTAAAAATTTTTATAAACTTTTGTCGCCAATAAGCAAATTAGTTTATATGTATACATATATATAATTGTCAGTACATATTTTTTCATTTATGAAATTTTAGTTCTTTGTGCCGGTGGAAAGTCAAGTGGTAAAACTCACCACACCAATTTACGGCATAGTTAGATTTTTCGCAAAATAACCGAAACACTATTTTCAATAAACAACTAGTCGTATTGCCATACATTTGGCGTACAACATTCGCAGTCTTCGTTTTTCATTTGACCAACGGGCGTTTCTTACCCAGGTGAACATATTGGGTTGCTCGCCGCTCATATATTACCTATCCATTTTGAGCACCCAATTCCAGAAAGTTTTTTTTTACTTTTTTGTACTTTGTTCTACACAATTTTAAAATTAATGTAAGCAAGTGCAAGCACTATATTTTTATAAGCGCTGCGCACTTATTTTAGGATGGCAAGTTAAGTTTGGATTAAATCTACTTACTTGTCCGTTTTTAAATGGACACCTTCAAACTTAGTTGCATACTGCAAACGTTCTCGCAGTAAGATTTATGCTGCCGGAACAGTGCCATTTATCAATTACGGCATGTAGCCTAATTCGATGATGCATGGATTGTTATCTCCAAAGTTTTACGTAATTTTGACAGATTCACATGACACAATTAGTAAGTGCACTATAAAGTGGAAAGTATCGGTGTCAACGGTGCAACGAGAAGCACCATACTACGCAGCATATGGAGAAGGAGACTCCAAACCCGACGGTTGCAGTTGTCGATGAAGAAGACAGCGAAGACAGTCGACATCACCAAACAGTACAAGTCATGGACGCAGTTAGTAGAGGAAGAAGAAGAGGAAGAATGTTTGGTGGAAAATCCAGCACCAAAGGGCAGTGCAGTGAGTTCGCCCACTACTACGCCATGAACAGGCGTCTCTCGCAGACTATGGACTCGTCCTTTCCGTCCATCTGTATCTACGCATCGTTACTGCCGACATGATGGAGCGGTAACACGTTCTTTTCGCCCATCGCAGCGCAAGTCACGGCCTGAAAAACACCGTTTCCATTCTTATGTATTGCATCATTTATAAATCAATTATGCACGGCTAATTGAATATATTTTGGCATAATTGTAACACGTTTTGCATGGATGGCACACAAATTAGTACCCTCAAACAAACCAACCAAATATGCCTCACTAGCTTCTTGTAGAGCCATAACTGCAGAACTTTGGAAACGTAAATCCGTTTTAAAATCCTGTGCGATTTCACGAACTAATCGTTGGAATGGCAATTTGCGGATCAATAATTCAGTACTCTTTTGGTAACGACGAATTTCCCGCAATGCCACTGTACCGGGACGATAGCGATGTGGCTTTTTAACACCACCAGTTGCTGGAGCACTCTTGCGAGCAGCTTTGGTCGCCAATTGTTTACGAGGTGCCTTACCACCAGTCGACTTACGGGCTGTTTGTTTTGTACGAGCCATTATTTATCACTCTAAATCTTTACACTAGATAAATCTCCACCACAAAACACTAGTATACACTGCACTTTTCTTACAATAATGCGATAAT